CTTAACAGAAGCTTACAAAGCAATGTTCAGCACAGATGAATTTAGCATAATATTAACAACTTTTTTCAGCAAGAATAACTCAAAAACAAAATTAAAATAAAGAACTATTTTATTTCTAGGCCTGTCACGATAACAAATTTTACTGGGCGATTGTCTCAGAAATTATTGCAATAAACTAATATTGTTTGAAATTTAACAATAATTAGTAATTATTGTCAAATTTAAGAATTAAATTTGTTTTACATGTAGTGCCTTTTTTCAATCACTGGATGGCAGTATAAGTGTTTCAATCGCAGGATGGATAGTGAGGGAGCAAGCAGCGTGTCTCTTAAGAAAAATGGGCGGGAGGCCCCTTGACGTGCCATGGGCTGTCGCTCTTCGGTTCTCAAAATGGTGGATGCTCGGAGTGGTTTGAATGCTTTAAAGAAGTTTGAGGCATTATCAGTTGTGGTTCTGACAATCTTCTCACGGATTTCATATTCTGAGTGTATGTCATTCATCGCGCTTGCCAAGGCGTCAAATGTGTGAGTGCCCTCTAAATGCCTGCATGTAAGAGCAACAGAACGCCTCTCAAAACTGCTTGCCTTGTCGACATTGTTCTCAGAGACTTGCATTGTTTCTTCAAGCTTCAATTGTTTAAGATCCGTGGAAGACGTCCCACCCTCAGATCTTCTCTTGCGGGCTGCTGTAGTCACTTCATTATATTTCTCCAGCTGTCTTACATGCTTCCTCAAGAAAAGACAAGAGAACTTCAGTTAAATGTAGTGAACTCAAATTGGCATCAAAAGGATAAAACACATTGATGGTGGCAACTAAAAAAAGAACAAAATTCCAATAAAGCTAATTATTTCTTCTCACCTTTAATATATTAATGCAATGTCACCGCACTGTAGAGCAGGGCTGGGGGGCATGACTTCAAATCTATATCATAATCAATTTAACATTGCTACATTGATTACAATTAATTAGCAATTATTTTAGTATTTGCTTATTTCTAGCTCATAGCTAACTAAAAGTTACTGTTGCAAATGTTTTTATTATAGAAGATAGGGATGGGTGATACGAACCAAAATTAATATCTCAATATTTTTAAGATGAATCGCATTATACGATATACATATCGATATATTTTTGCTTTCCATAAGGCGATAAAAATATGAATCTGAGTCAAAGCTTTGTCCCAGTTATCACACAGGCACCTTAATTAACAAACAACTGTAACTGTACAAACGGAAAAGTTCTTTTCCTGCAAAACAAAACCAAAAACGCAGCTGTGCACTTAAAATTTAAACAGAAAACACACAGAGCAAACTTAATGAAAGGCTGACTTGCTCTTTAAAAAGTCTGATTCAAAACAAGTATGTAACACAGCTTTGACTGATACCCAGAACAAGAGTGGCTCCTCTGTGGTTCTAACAAAAGCCCTAACGAACCCCTATTGTGAGGATTGATAGGGCAATCTGCATATGTATCTAGCTTAGCTTAATAAATTGAACCCCCACACTCTGTTCTGAATTTCATGAACCTCCCTCCATTCTATCCTGATGCATGCTCAATAATCCAGGTAGAAAAATATAAAAGGTGTGGGTGTTCCACCTTTTCCACCCACATTTTGATGTTGACGGTACCGGGAGTTGAACCTTGAAGTTGGTGCAGATGGGGAGAAAGAACTGGCGGCTTTTCAATTAAAACTATTACTCGAAGAAAAAAACAGTTTGCTCAAATTCCTGAATGTGCTTTCTCAGGTTGGATGGTGAGTATTTAAATGCAGAAATGTAGTTTGTCCGCGGTGAACACACACATTTAAACAGATACGAATTATTTACCAACTGTATGGAGTGTGGTTTATCATGGCATAAGTCTAAGTGTATGCATGGAACTATTGTATATAAATATAAACTACACCATATATCAAATTCTATTAACCAATCTCGTTTTCCTAAAATATCTCAATATAATTTAAATATGTTTGCTACGACGGTGAATTAGGGCCATGCTAAGGAAAAAAAAAATTACATTACGAACAAGAATAGTCATTACTAGAATAAAGTCGTACGACAATAAAGTCATAATATTATGAGAATAAAGTTGTAGTGTTATGAGAATAAAGTTGAAATAAAATGAGAATAAAGTCATAATAAAGTTGTAGTATTACGAAAATAAATTCAAAATAAAATGAGAATAAAGTTGTAATATTATCAGAACTCCGGCACAAAAAATACGTCTTACAATTGCGGTAAAATGGTTTGTCGGCAGTACAATAGCAGGGGGTCCAATGCACTGTAGCATATGGATTCTTATGATAAACTGAAGCCTATGACATTGTAATTAATGGCTGAATTGGCGGATTTAGTTGTCACATAATGTAGATGGAGGCATATTTCACAAACAGTGACCCAAAAGTGATCGTGGACTACTTTATAAACACAGTGACTCGCACTGGCAGCTGTCCACAGCAGGTGCAAGCCGACCCAGGAATGTATTACAAGTTTTTTTTCTTGTAATATAATGACTTTATTCTGGTAATGAACCACTTTGGCTGCCTGCCTGGGAGGAGTCGATGGGGGACAGGAACGCTTCCAGAAACCATCTTAGCTCCAGCAAACTGGTTGATCCACTTAAGAAGTTTACTGCTTGGTGGGGAAACAGTTTAGTGGAACTCCTCAGACTGATGAAGCCCTCTGGATAGAGGGTGAAATGTCTCTACAAAAAAGAAACTGTCCAGATGACCTGACAGAATTGTTGGATTTGATATCTGGATGATCGAGCACGAACTTTGTTGTATAAATAAAAGTTGAATGAAAAAAATGTTTGATCTGATTTAAGTGTACATTTGTTTTAAAGCCAAATATTTCATGTTTATTTCTTACATTTATAATTTTCTGTATTTTCCATCAAACCATAATCCAAAAAACTTCATACTTTTTACTTGTTCTAATTCTTGATTATACACATTTCTTTTAGTAAATTTACAATTTTAAAGTATTGTAAATGAATCCTCGTGACTCAAAAAGCGAATAACCTGTAGGCCTATAACTAAAGGTTGAATCAACGTCCTTTCCTTTTTGATAGGAAGTTTTTAATCCATTTAAATATTTTCCCCTCACTAATTTGACAATTCTTCTACTCACATCATGTCAAACGCCTTCTCTAATAAAAAATACAAAAACAATTGACTTATGCTCCTGATTTCATGCAACGTTTGCAAGTCAAGGTGCAATTCCAAATCCATCCCAGGTGTAAGCAGCAACTGATTGGTTCCCTTTGAGCACAAGGAAGAAAACCAGTAACGATTACAAAGCTGAGCCAGAAAGAACAAATCTTCCTAGAAATTGAGTCGAAAGCACAATATTCATCTTTGAAATGTAGCGAAGTCATAGCCACCCCCCCTTCACCAAAAAATAAAGATAATCGGAACATGTACTTCAGTACAGTACTCAAGCAAATGTACTCCCATTACAGTCCACCACTGCAGTTAGGTTTGGCTGTGAGAAAGTCAAGCAGTATCAAACCTGGACCTATGAGTACAATAGTTTAATTTTTTTCTCCAGTGAAACGTGCATTGAAAAAGCAAAATGTCATTTTTATAAACATTTATTTATCTTTATTGGCCACAGAAAACCAGGTTAGAGGAGTACGCCATATTGTTTCAGAACTTCTGTGTATGGTGCGATCTTTTTCTCCACGTTCTTCTCTGCCTGCTTGGTCAGCTTGATCAGCTCCTTTTTCTTGGTGTAGCGGAGTTTAGATTTCTCCTTTCTCTTCTCCTCCAGAGTGGCTGTGATGGCCTGGTACTTCCAGCCAACCTCATGAGCCAGACGCCCAAGCAGGGCAAACTTGAGACGAAAAAACAAAAAGAAATAAGATTATGTTAAACTGGAACGTTGGAGGGGGTTGGGATTGTACTTTTATTTAGAGATTGGCTTGTCTCAGTCTTGATTTTCTTTCGTATCATGTTTACAATTCAATGAAGGGAGAATTTTTTCATCACCGACAGCCATAAAAGCAAAGAGTCCATAAATAAAACATTTTTAAGAAACAATATTGTTTCAGATGAGTCTACAAACACAACACAGTTTCCAAGTCCAGGACTGTTCAACATTCTGAACTGAATGTTACGTTAAAAACAGTTTCAGAGAAATTAAATCATTTTTGCTAATAAAAACAGACGCAAACGTTGAGGCTCACCTTACGAGAGGGCTTCAGGCGCACAATTTTCAAAGCAGCTGGGACAACCATACGCTTCCTCTGTAAACGAAAATCCAAATTAGATGAAGAAACTACATGGACTTACTGAACAGCTTGTCTCAGTTTTCATGATTAGAACTCCGTGAACAGTAAAATAGGCATCAGACAGTTGATTTGAAGCAGTAATAAGGAGGGGAGAAATAGCACACCTTGTCATAGGGTGGAGGGATACCATCAAACACCTTCAGCCTGTCCAGAGCAGCCTGGCCTCTCTTGGTTTTGTGAGGCAACATGCCTGATTACAAAAGAACTTTAGTTACCATTCAAGCTGGAAGGACATTTTTAAAACACTTGAGACAACCCAAAATAAAGGTACACTGCTACACAACTCAAAAAGCCAGATCCAGAATGTTTATTTTATTATTTTATCATCAATGGATGATCAGCTTCAGGATAAAAAGCTCACCACCGTCAAACAATGCATATCAATGTTTGAACTTCCTCACTTCAACTTATGATCAAAAAGCAAACTTGATGCACTTGCAGCCATTTTTGAAGAGTAACTATATTCATTGTTCCACTGATGGTCAAAGCTCTAGTGTCCTAGAGCTCCATGTATACCTCTGACAGTCCTCCAGAAGATCTTGCTGGGAGCCCTGAAGTGGTACGGCCCCCGAGAGGGGTTGGTGTTCATCCTCTTGCGCAGGAAAGCCAGGTACTTCACTGTGAAGGCACATCGCACCACAGTAAATTACAGCCCAGCTGTATATACTTGAAAGCAGCTGATAATTGCAACTTCAAAAGATAATGCTGATGTCTCAGATGGTAGTGCATGTAGTGTTCTCATGGTCAATGAAACTCGAGCTATGGTTATGAAAACATCATTGACAACAAGCATCTCATTTAACAAAAAAAAAAAATTGTTTTTTAACTTACGTTTGTTACGGTAGAAGTTGCCAGATATGTTGATGCCTTCACATCTCACCACGACCACTTTGTGTCCTAAAAGAAACAATCAGGAGCTGAGTGTGGAGAGAAAAAAGTGACTAAAACAATTCATCTCCAATGATAGTTTGCTATTTTTCATGGCCAAAAGAAGCTTATTAGCTAAATACATTCAAACTGGAAGTGGAAAAACACTTGACACACCCTAGCATAAACATACACTGTTGCTAAACCCAGAAGTCTGACCTATGTTTTGTTCATCAAAGGATGATCACTTTGGGATGTAAAAAAGCTTAGCATCAAGCAAAGCCACATCTGTGCTGGGTCAATCCACTACAGATGTACAGGATGGCCTCATTACTTTAATATTCTCTTGAATAAGCGAGGAAACCGTTCACTAGACTTGAGATGGTATTACCATGTGAACTTCACCAATTCAGCTCATGAGTGCAGTCAATTTACAGGAATATATTTGCAGACATTTTTGAAGAGCAAATTGTCTTGATTGGTAGGTTACTTTTTATAGTCATGAGTACAATTTCATTCCACCTCATGTACCACATGTGACGCGAATGACGAACCTTTAATGGTCGTTAAATGGAGATTAATTTAAGACACTGATGGAATAATGGTTGGCCAGTTTTCACTAGATGCTTTTGCCACTGTGCCAAAAATAACGTGTCCCAATTCTTTGAGACTTAGACAAAGGGCAACGTGGTGAATAACTGGTTCTTCACAAGGAGATTTGAATTAGGTGCATTTTAAAGGGCGATGAGCTGTGCTAAAGAAACACAAATTTATTAATTTTTTTTAATTAAATGCTAATGTCACAGCCATTCGATCCAGATTTATTACATCTGACATTAACTTTTTAAAACTTGCTGATGTACTTTGCAAGTTAAATATGCAAAGTACATAACAGACAGAAACTAGCAAAAGTGTATGTCCATTTACGTAAAAAAAAAAAAAAAAGTGTAACATTACACAATGTATTAGCTTTTTCAAATTTTGTAGTAAAACATTTAAGCAAAATCATTAAAACTGTCAATAAAATTCCAAGAAATCATACCGAATCTGGGAATTGAGACTAGCAAAGGGGGATTTGGTTTAAGGTACATTTGATCTAGCATCTTTTAATATTTCTTGTTAAGTAAATTACTTGTACTGTCAAAATTCACATTCTAACAAACTCACCCAGGAGGACCTGTTTAGCTACAATGGCAGCCAGTCGGCCAAGTAGATGGCCCCTGCCATCTAACAGCAGAACCTGCAGACAAGAGTACGAAATCATTCTCTAACATTCACACACAAATTAATTAACTCCTACTGTTGTTTCAGACGGACATATTTGCTACTTATGTTATGCACCATCACTCACCCGTAAATAACCTAAAAACAACAAAACGTTCATTAAACCATTAAAAAAAATCTCTTGCGGTGTAATGGAAAAGTTGAACATAAGGGTGTCATTACCGTAACACGTTTTAGCAGATTAAAACGTTATTTCTGCGAAAATTAATTTACGACTAGTTGAAGATTGTGGAATATAAGTGCAGTTTCTAAAAACATGTGTTCTCGCTCAGTTTTCATTTTCACAAATTAATGAACAATTTGAAGGAAATGATTCGTTAGGGAAGCTGCCATGAAGGCATGCTCACAAAGCTAAAGCTAGCTGCCTGCCGTGTTTCACAAATACTCTCACAGATCGCATCCAGTCTAAAACTTATTATCTTTATTAAATGCACATTAACACACAGCGTTTTGATGTAATAGATAAATTCATGTAGATTCAAGAATAGAAAAATAATACCCTTTTTATTTTCGCAGCGACAGCTTACCTTATTGAACCGGTCCGCCATGATAAGCGAAAAGAAAGAGTACGGGGTTACTCGTGGTAAAAAGCAGGGGTGGCAGGAAGTGACGACATGTTCGTCTTCCTGCGATGTTTTATTTTCTACAGCGCCATCTATTGATCGTCTCTGAACATAAGCCTCATCAATGAACAGAAGAAACTTTCTTGCTACATACAAGTTATTTTTTCTTAATTTATTCGAAAATCAGTACATTGACTGTTTTTTAGCCACACGAACAAACAATTTTATT